AACAGAATGGTTTTATTGATTTTATTGGGTAGGGGACTCTTGGGTGGAGTGCAAACATGGAGGCGTCGTCATCGAACAGCTGTTAAATGGCTATTGTCACGGCTAATGTCTTTGGGACAGGTTAGAATAAACACAGCGAATTCATTTTACGGCAAATTAAAATTATTCGAAAATTGCAGTTGCTGTTATGTATCCGTTAATATGCCGGTACATGACAATCATCATTTTTTGTCCATTTTCATCCGTTTCTGATGATGAAGAACATTGATACGCGCCGCCGAGTCAGGTAGCCAAAACTCAGGCCCGAGAAAAAGTAGGAGGGAGTGATTTAATTACAATAATCGTAGGTAGTGACCTCCTGTGGTTCCCAGTATTCGCTGATGGTCTTCATCTTTTCTTCTCATTCCCCGTATAATCGCTCTTTTGAATCAGCTGGATAGTCAAGAGACACAATAGAAAAGTGCCCAGGTATGAAAACCGTGAGTGAGAAAAAACTTCTTTTCTCTGCTACGAGAGAAAAAAGGAAAACAAAAATCTTTCATTTTTCTTTCTGAAACCTCACGTGTCATCCCGGATGCATTTATTTTCAGTAACGAAAAGCTATAACCTGCATCATTAGCCATCACTCTTCATTATCTTTTTACAAACAAAATTTTTTCAAAGAAATTGCCAGGAGTTTTGATGGCTTTTAATCGTGGTTGAAAAAACATTTAATGATTTGTTTTGGCACGAAATGATTCGAGGTTCTAACCGCGAACAATTTGTTTCCCTCATATTTTTATTCGGGGCCTCAAGGCCCATTTGAGAGTGACAACTGTGAAACACGGATTAATGGCTGCTTATTAAGAGGATTTGCAAAAAATTGTTCTCTTCATTTTATCGGTGAAATATTTTCTCACTTCAATTACTTTGGGCCCAAAATTCCCATAAGGCCCATGAGTGAGGGCGAAGGGGAAAGAGGAGTGATGGGGGTAGAGGGTGATAATGACAGTGCGGGGTGATATTTCTGAGGTCAGGAAAGGAAGCTCTCTCACCATTACGCGGAACGTTCCTTAAGGCCCCAACAATTTATCCCAGGAGACATTGCTGAAGTAAGAGAGAGAGAGAGAAACACACAGAGATGCAGAAAAAAGAGGCCCCGAGAGGGGTATGAAATTAAATTTCGACGATTTTGGGCCCTCCGGCGATTTTATTTCGCTCGGGGGTGTGGGAGCGTAAGGCCCCTCTGGAATGTCCCGTGGGCATTTTTTCCCTCCCCCCCAACCCCTCGTTTAAACTTCGGCACTGAGCCCTAAAATGTTAACCACAGAGTTGGTGCGCAAGAGGGTTAGGGCCCCATTGTGGATCCAGATTGTTCTAAAAGGCCCCGGCTGTTTTTCAGGGGGAGGACTCGTGGGGATATCCCAGATCACCGGAGCGCCATGTGTGTGTAACTACTTATTAGGGCGTGGGTCTTATCTAAAGGGTCACCGGGCGGCTCGCGACCTCCGGGACCTCTGGGTCCCACCAGAAAGAGAGAGAGACAGAGAGAGATTTTACGGACCGAATTCCAGGAGTTGCTCGGGATACGAGTGATGTATTGTCGTGTACTCCTCTTTTTGGGCCTTATTTTTGGGACCTCGGCGCCTCTATGCAACAAATAAATGTATGCAATTCATAATTTGTCGAATTGAAAGAGAATGTATGAAAAACTACCAGCAGCGAAAGGCCCAATTATTAAAGTAATAATTCTGGGCCTTATCTGTTTTAAAATTAGAAGCAATGTAAATAATTTTCTAGCGACGGAAGAGGGAAAAAAAAGAACGCGTCAAATCTCGAATTTCACGTTTATACTTTTTCTTAGACCGTAAGGCCCAAAAATCTTATCGCCCCAACTAAAATATCTACAGGTCTATGTTTGCATTTTTACTCTCGCGGTCTCTTTCATAATATCTCTGTTAGTAAACACTCTTTATGACCGTATACAAACACTCGAGCAAAAGGGCATGAGGCCCTCACACCTATTATTACATTATTTTTTTTATCAATTCAACGTGTCAATTTCCCGCATATCATAAAACGATACAGAGATAAAAATTCACGCAGACATCACCCAATGGCTGCAGAACCAAGGAGATAAATATGAAGAGAGAGGGAAAAACAACTCATAATACCCATCGGGCTACCTCGGGGCCCTGTGGTTAGGGCGGTGCGCGGTTTTTTGTGACCGGCAATTAGGTAAACGTCTCACGACTCTCCGGACCCAAACAGACCCATACACATTCACTCTCACTCTTTATTTTGTTTCACATTGTAGACACATTTCTAGGAGGGTAGGAAAGGATATCTTCCCTACTATTATTTAGTAGTGTGGTTTAAAGTCGGGCCCGGATCATTCTCAGTCCCAAAAAAAAATAGATCACCAGATAAACCGTCGATTTTTTTCTCCAACCGCAAGGTTCTCGGCTGCATATAATTTCTTATCAAAAATTTATGAAAAAATTTGGAAAATTATCGGAAGGGCCCTACGGCCCCAAAAAAATCGAAGCACATTGCCATTTATGAATTGACATTTTTTGTCAGATGATAAAAAAATTATTGCAAAGTAGAAAATCTCCATTACCGACTGAGGTGAAACGTTACCACTTAGTTTCGCATTCACGGGTGTCGCTCTGTTTACGGTTGAGCTCCTCGGGTTTAAAATCCCCTCTCTCTCCGTCAGGCGGTAGTCCATCCAGATCCGCCAGGTGCTGTCATCTGTAGTGAAATGTGGAAACTTGTTTTGACTCGTGCGGAAGGGAATTCCGTGGGAACTGGCGCCCTAATTGGAGCCAAAACGTTTGGTAATTTTTTTTTTTTAGATGTTTCCCCAGGGGTGGTAGTAGCGAAATACCGAAAAGCCCCGGGGATTCCTGAGTTTATCCGTGGCTTACTGTCTCGAGTGAGATAGTTTTACCAGGTTAGCCCGTGCGAACCAAAGGGTTTGGGTAGGCGTGACGGGTGCTCGGGTTTTTCTCTCTTTCAGTTATGTTTTTTGAGTGGAGTGAGCCTCACGGCTAAAAACACCCGAACGTCTTTTGCGCGGTAGAGATATCTTCAACCGAAAACGTTTATACTACCTGCCGTCGCGTAACGAA